GGGCCGCCCTGAGTGCTTGCTCCTCAAGCTTGGTGAACTGGAGTCTTGTCTGCTCTTCACCGGTTTTTCCCAGGGTTCAGCCCCCGCTCTCATTTTGTTTCTTGCTGTTTTCTCTCCATGTCTGTCCTGGGTTTCTGATTGCACGTGTTGTTTTTGCTTGCTTGCTTGAAGTACATTTCCAAGTGCTTTTTGAAGAGATGTGACACAGTCTGGAGTGGTGAGTTCTGGGCTTCTGCTAAGTGCTTGTTTGGGGCAGGAGAATTTTTATCTCAAATGTTTTGATTTGCATTTTGCATTTTCTTCTTACAGCAGTTTTGTGTGGAGTTTGTCTTGATTTTTTTTTTTTCTCCCTGTTCTTGGGCTTTTTATAGATGGCTATTCTAGGTCAGAGGAGCTTTATTCTGTTAGTTTGTGAAATGTCGTTTCTTTACTGGGTGGGGCAGGCGAGTGTCTCTGCTCCGTGCGCTGCCGTCTGCCCTTTGTCCGGCTCCACTTTCCAGCCTGTCCATCCCTGTAGCTGGTGAGTGGCCCACCAGGCCCTGCCCGGGAAGCTGGGTTTGCTCTCTGACGGCGCTTTTGCCTGGTTTCTGTTGGGCCTTTGACTCCCTCGTGCCGTGGAGAGTCTTAACCTCACCCCTGCCCTCCGTGCCTGTAGACTTGTTGGAATGAGTACTTCTCTCTCTCCTTACAGGTGTTTTGAGGCCCGTGATCTCTGTTTCACAGTAATGCTGAAAGCTGTGATCACACATCATTTTATTTGGGGTCCATATTGGTTTTGTGATGTTTGGGGAGGATGGATCCCCACATGACATTAGTTGTTCTTCTGTGACTTCTTCACATGTGGTCCTGTGTGCTTTAAACCTTAGATGGTATCCTGACTTCCGTAAACCACCGCAGTCCTGTTCAAGCGGTAGAACCCATCTCCACGTCTGTCTACAAAAAACAGAGTTTTGTGCTTTCCCCCTTTTCTACTCAAGAAGGTATGTGATCTTTCACTTCTGTGAAATCCTTCAATCAAGTTATGCAATGTGGTTTCTTTGTTCACAAGCCATTTCTTGTTTCTGTTTCTACTAGAAATGTCAGGTTTGTCATTCCACATTGCTTCCCTGGATGAAAGTGGGGTTCTCAATGTGTGGGTGAGTAGGATATGCCCAGGTGCTCACACATGGGGCAGCGCCGACTGAATGCATGGGCTCTCGGACCTGCCAGTTCTGTGGTAGTCCAGGCACTGATACATGCCTGGTGGTCGGACGATGATATGCTTGGCTAAGACGTGAACACCAAGGGCGATACTGGACTGACTCGGAGGCTCCTGCAGGACTTCCTGGGGGAGTGAGGGGAGGGCGCTGGGGATGCATTCTTGGGGGGCTCTCAGAGGACGCACTGAGGCACTGGCCAGTCCGAGTGACGAGATGTGAAAAGAGGTCAAGGAAAGGGATTCATAACATTTAGAAGTTAATGATCAGTCTTTTTTCTGGAGCAATTATGTTTTTAGTACCGAATATAGAATGCTATCTTAATTAGAACTGCATTCGCTTAGATTGTGTCCTGGTACATCCCTGACATGCATTAATACTCATTTCAATATTCTGTTTTTAGGTGGTTGTTGAATTACCAAAGGCAGATATTGCAGGCTCAGTAAGTGACTTAGGTAACTATTAAATAAAAAAAGTTAATTTAGTCAATATTTTCTAGAGTGAATAGAGATTAAAGATACTGACAACCACTTTGAAAAATAAATAAGTAGCTGCCTGAAAAATGAACATTAACGTTCTATATTGTATAACTGTAATCAACCGCTGAATAGACACGTCAGAGTGATTCAGTGATACTCCTTCCAGCTGATGATGTTTTCATTTCAGGAAGGGTTAATAAGTTCTGTTTCTGTCTGTGTGCCATTCTCTTCTCTCTGTTCCTTCCATGCACTCAGAAGTCTGAGTGCTTGAATGCATGTTCATTGTGGGTGGTCTTCCCTTGGTCGGACTCCGGGGGCTCTCTGAGGTTGGAGCTGGCAGAGGCCGGCCACGGCCTTGCACGTCAGGAGGAGTGCAAGTGTTTACTGAACGGCCCTGGGCGCGCTAAGCAACAGAAATTGACAAGAGGCCCAAAAGGGGTTCCAGGCAGGACTTTGTTGGGGCTCGTGCCCCAGCACTAGGGGGATGCACAAAGGAAGGAGTCCTCAGGCTGGCTCCCCAGGAGGGGTTGGCGAGAGCTTTAAAGAAACTTTGGTGGGAAAAGGGTGATGTCTAAACATGAAGAGCAGGGATTTTGGGGGGGCTTGCACACTTAGCGGTCATACTTCTTCATGCTCCTTCATACGCTGCATGTCTAATTAGCATGTTAAATCCCCACCCCCGGGTGTGATTTTTAGTATGATAATGAGGGGGAAAGCTGGTGAAGGGTCAGCACTGTGGTCCATCTTGGCTCAGACTGGTTTGGTCTGGTTCTCACAGCCGAACTTCCCTTTTAGATGCTGGAGGGTGTCTGAACTGGAGTAAACTGGTCAAAAACTGGGTCTTGGGGGCTTACTGGGGGCTTGTGGCTTCTGGTGTCTGGCTTGGTTTCTGGCAGCAAGCAGCACCTGTAAGCAGGGCTAGAAAACTGGGTGACAGTGGCGTGTGAGGAGTTCTGGATGAGGGACTGGAGTCCCGTCCCTGCTCCATCTCAGAAGTGTGAGTCAGCTCGAGCACTTTGCGATGCCGTGGCATCCAGTCCTCCGCTCCCGTGAGGCCCGGGCACGGTGGACTCTTGAGTCTGTTCCTTGGGTCTGGCGCTCCCTGACTCTGTCCTCACATCATTAGTTCAACTGCTTACTTTCCAGGGACCAGCCCCGTTCACTGTGTCTGTGTGAGGGGTGTGCCCGGCTGACACTTGTTCCTGCCGTCTGGAAACCAGAGGGTTAGAGATGGGGCACTTTGTGTCCCTGGAGCAAGGGCTGCGTGCTTCGTGCTGAATGCCAGAGACAGTGCTTGGAAGTACTGTGGACTCTAACTTTAATGAAAACAGGGCTGAATTACCTCACTGATTTCACGCGTAAACATTTTTGAGGCAGAGTAACTATTTTCTCACTGTTTTCTAATAGCTTCCTCTCTGCTTATTACAAAGCCATCATACTGAGTCCGTGTTGAGCCTTTGGGGGGCTCATAGACTCTCGGGATGTTAGAGCAGGACAGCGTCTGGGAGGTGCTCACCCTTCCTCGGTGTGGCTTGATGGGGCCGGACTCAGAGTCGGGCTCAGGCCTGCCCCTGCCCTCACCCAGGCTGATGCCCCGGACCCAAGCGTGTTGCAGCCTTTGAGTGCATCTTGAGGCTGCCTGTGTTGCTCACTTGAGCCATGACCAGGCCATTTTTTAGAAATTTTGGATGGTGGTGAGGAGTTAGAAAGTCTCAGTCCACAGTTAGTTCATAATCTGCCTGTGGAGACGAAATCATTTTGCATGAAAATACTTTGTAGTAATATGGAATAGTCACACACAAGTTATTATAGGGCAGTGTGTATTTCATCATTAAGTGTTGTTATATAAAAACTCCTTTTATTTGTAGGACCACTTACCCAAACTCTGACCATGTTTCAGCTTTGCTTTTGGGAAAAGCAAAGGGGCTGACATCCATACCAGTAGTCAGTGCTGGAAGAGCGCGACCATTAAATGCCCATGGGAGCGTTTGAGGTGTGTGTGTGTTACATGAGTGCTAACTCAAATCACGGCTACAGCTCATCACTCACCATCGATGAAGGGCTCTCAACAAGCTGGGCCCTGTCTTGGGTGCCAGGGGAGCAAGGTGACAGGATGCTGGCTCTGCCCCAGGGAGTGTTGTCTTATGGGGAGGTTGACACACCAGCCCTGGCCATCGGTGATGTGACCTCTACGTCAGAAGAAGTGCTTAGTGAGGGCTGTGGACCCAGGGCAGGGAGGGCTTCCCAGGGGAGGTCATAACACTTGGGCCGAGACTTTCAGCACTGGAGTTCCTGCAGGAGGACAGTGTGCTGGGGAAAATGGAGGGCAGTTTCAAGTCTGTGTCATCATAGAACATTCTCCCGTCAGAGTTGTAACTGTGACAGAGCCCATCACTGTAATTACAGTCACACTTCCTGCAAGTCGAATTCATCTGTATGGTTAGGGTCTCTATACTCCCAAGGGTCTAGGCAGTACCTTGCCCAGAATTTGGGTTTCAGTATACATTTTTAGTTCCCTCCTTTGCAGTAATTACAAAAAAAAGGAGGAGGATATTGGGGACAGACACAGGAGGCAAAGCCAGTGAATGGCTGAGAGGTCAGAGTTGTGGCCATAAATGCTCGGGAGTCCAGGGAAGGGGGTGCCAGCGCTGAGGAGCAGGTGACCACCGGGTGGCCTCCACATTTGTAGGAGGGAGGTCCGGGGCGTTTCTGATGAGCATAATACCACCAGTGGGCATTTACAGCAAACTATTCCTGTTGGGAACTTAAGGGGTTTGGGTTTTGTTTTGTTTTGTTTTGTTTTGCTTAGTGTACCACCATTTTTTTTTTATCTTATCAGATCTAAAAATGTAAAGGCTTCTTGATTGCTTCCATAGTCCTTTTCTCATAAGGCAGGTTACAGGGACCTCGCCTGCATTAGGGAGGGAACACTCTTTATGGGCCCACGATTTGATGTCATTTCCTAACACAGATATTTAAGCAATGAAAAATGATTCCAGGCAACTGTAATTGGATTTTGGTTTAACTTGTATTAAGAGGTGCATTTATTTATGGTTTTCCTATTTTTAGGTCTGATACCTGGAGGGAGGATAAAGCTGGTGCACAGTGCTGTGATTCGGCTGAGCGACAGGTAAGGCTGTGCACTCTGAGTCAGAACGTTCTCTCCTCTCCCAAGACCGATTTCCCACAGAAGGAAATAACGTTAGGTAATTGCGCATACAGAAAATGTGTGGTCGGGTATGCATTGAAAAATCCAACTTTTCACCCTGTATTTTTGCTCAATTAGTTTAATATTAATGAGTCAGTGTAATAAATATAGTTACCAGGTATAGAGCTAACATTTTTTTCTTTGATTAAAATAATTTCTATCTTATAAATTGGTACTACAAAAACTTGACTATTTTTCCACCAGTTTTAATAAAACACTGAAGTTAAATAGGTAAGTTTCAGGAACCAGAAACATCAGTATGAAAGTTTTATTCAGAAATTTCAATTTCTGCTTTTACTCCTATAACTTAATGTGACGTAAAAATTTTTATTACATATACAAATATTGTTTGTGGTACTTATATATTCCATGTAAATTTATTTCCGAAACATCTTTTTTCTTGTCATTTATTGCAGTTGGGGGTTATCAGCATGCGATTTACTCTTGAAAAGTTTTTTATATTAGCGTGATTCTTCTTAGAATGCCTCTGGGTTATAGTAATGGATTTGTACCTGCTTTGAGATTGTAAGTCACCTTTAGTTGGTTTAAATATGATACCTACAGGGAATCCTTTATGTTTAAAAAAGTCAGCTGGTACCTTTGACCCCTGGCCCTCGCTGAATTTCCCCGTGGATTGTGGAGGTGGCAGCTGAGACGGGGGGTAGACAAGACAGTCAGAGGGAGCAGCACGTGGGAGGCCCCGGGGCGCGAGCACCCGACCCACCTCAGAAACTGCCGGCAGGTTTGCTGTCGAGAGAGGTGGGGATGAGTCGCTGGCCAGACCTCAGAGTGTTTGCTGTGCTGCAGGGTCCAGACGGCTCTCTTGCGGGGGGTAGGGAGCCAGCACAGGATTTTAAGGCAGAGAGTGGTGTGTCTTGTTGGTGATTTGGAGTGATCCGCTTGGCGACAGTGTGGGATTGGACAGAGGAAGGGAGACAGGAGGCTGTTGTAGGGTTGATTAGAAGGATAGGGTCTGAAGCACAGTGGCCATCTTGCATAAGGAGGGGTTGATCCCAGTTAAAGGGGCGGAGTTTGGAGGAGTTGCCTCTCACCAGGTGTCTGGCTTGGCTGCCAGGTGTACTGAACACAAGATGAGGGACGGGAGCTAAGGGGGAGGGGGCTGGGCTCGTGCTGCTTGTGGAGATGACTGGGAGGCAGCCAGCTCCACAGCAGGGATCTCAGGTGGAGGCACAGACTGGAGAGTCCTCAGCTGACCAGGGACATTGGCAGTCCTCAGTGTGGGTATGAGAGACAGTGGCCAGATTCCCAACTTCTGGCAGAAGGGGCAGCCATGGGCCCTTTCCTGTTACAAATACGTACACTGTACAGCGTAAAAACTAACAATAAACTAAATAGAGTTTTTCCAACGAAGAAGAGGACAGTGCCAGCCAGGAATGAAGCTTGAAGTTAGTGTGCAAGCCTTTGTGTGGTGTGGAGGCTTGGGTGTCAGCGTGGCTGTCACAGGCTTCTCGGCTGTGTGGGGCTCAGGCCATGCGACCAGTGACGCACCAGGCTTGCCTGACGCTGGGGGCTAGAAGTGAGAGCCCTGTGCGGGATTCCTGAGTTCACGGCCCCTTCAGTGAGAGAGCAACTCAGGGAGCCCCACCCCAACCCAGGAGAGGGAAGGGGGCGTGGGAGACTTGAAACCCCGAGCTTCCGGTGGGGGCTGGGATCCACAAGCTGGGGAGGTGGCATCAGAGTCTCAGACCAGGGGCTCACCATCAAACACTGGGACAGCTGCCCGGTAGGCGGTGTTCGAAGGTGGAGGAGGAGGGTCCATCCTTCCTACTGAGGAGGCACTTTGAGACCGGGAAACAAAGCAGGTGACTCCATCCAGTTTACTCAGCGTTTTATTCAGGGTAACTTACTGACAGGGAGGACTGAGCAGGTGACCATCCAGAGCTGTGCTCTGCAAAGTTCAGACCTTAGTGCACAGATTTTATAGAGTAAGGGGATGTGCAGAGAGGCATTGTAGTAAGGTCAGAGGGTTCACATACACCTCAGAGGGTTCGTGTGCCCCTCATTGCAAGCTAATCGTTAATTAGATCTCATGGTGCCATCTGTGTCTCAGGAAGGGGGGACCCTTTGTTATCTTTAACAAATTGGTGGAATGCCAAAGGAAGCCTCCCCCAGTCCTGGCCTCAGTGGTCATTTCTGAGGTGTGTATATTACTCTCCAAGGGGCCTAGAACACGTAGCCCCAAGAGAGGACACGCACAAGATGAAGTCAGTATTGTCAGCACTCCTACGTGGGGGATGCTCCCACAAGGTGGGCTCCCAGGGCTCTTAGAGGAAGCAGTTCAGAAAGAAAAATTACAGAAACTGCAAGCCTGAAGAAACATTTACCACGGCACAATGAATGGGCTAAGCATAACAAGAACTTGGCATAATGGACAATCTAAAAGATTTCTAGAAAGAAATGATCATCTCTGAAATTTAAAGTACGTGAATGGTTAAATACATTAGACATAGCTGAAGAAAGGACTAGTGAACAGGAGACCAGAGCCGGAGGAATGTCTAGAGCTCAGGGAACAGAAACAGAAACGGGAAAAGAGCAGCGAAGAGCCACAGGGGAAGGCTGAGACCACCAGCTCCATGTCCAGGGACTCCCGGCGAAGGGTCAGTGTGTGAAGTGCTGTCAGCCCTCTGGCGCCAAATGGTTCATCTGCTCATTTCGCTGTTTCTCTCCAGCCTTTCCCATAAAGGCTGTGAATTCTGGGGGGCCACACGAACCCTGAATGTGAAGTTTCTGCCTTCAGACCCTAGGCATTTCATTGTGGGCACAGATGTGGTAAGTAAGAGTTTAAATCTCATTCTGTAACTCATTCTCCTTTCTTGGTTGTTTGGCAAATCTTCATTAAAGATTAACTTATTTGCTTTTATTACGATGCTGTGTAATTGTTTCAAGAATAACTGCTTTTATCCAACCTCATGCCTAATCCTTTTTATCACCATTGGTCTTCTCATTACCAGGGTCTTATAAGTCATGGCACCAGACAAGATTTGAGAGTATCTCCTAAATTGTACAAGCCCCAGCAACCTGGTATGAGACCAGTCACAGTGAATGTGATTGATTTTTCACCGTTTGGAGAACCAGTATTCTTGGTAAGAAAGTCGGTTGTTAAAGCACCATTTCTGTTTGGGCAGCAAAACACTAGCAGTGATCTCTGGGGATTTCTTTGAAGTTGATCACTCACCAGCACACGCTGGTGCCAGTGGACTGCATGGCGGAAGGTCCCCTCTGCGTAGCCCGCGCAGAGCGTTCCACGTCGCTGTGGAATGGGTCTGAAAAGTCTTTATCTTCACATAGCTTGGGCTTATGGGGAAGTTACAAGAACCTGTCCGTCACATCACATTCTTCGCTCCGTGGCTCCGTCCTCTCTCCCGGTCTGTGTGTGGATCTCCCTGCTTTACTGTCTGACAGGAAGTTGCAGAAATGATACTTTATCCATAAACAGTTTGGTGTTGGTTTCCTAAAAATGGGGTCGTACTCCTGCAGCTGCAGTCCAGCCTTGACCAGTAGGAGGTTAGCACTGGAACAGCCCTGGCATCCGATGTGCGGGTCCGATCAACGACGGCCTGGTTTATGGCAAAATAACACCCCAGGTCACGAATCTCACTCAGTTCTGGACAGTTCCTCAGACATCCTGAGGGGCTTAGGCTCCTCAGTTTGATTCTGTGTGATGTTTCCTCACGATTAGATTCAGGTTTGCTCTGACCCGCATCTGCCCCTGGAGTCACTCCTTTCCCTGTCTGATTCCCGTGTGTCAGTGGGGAGAGAAACGGTCACTCGGTCGGCGTCCCCACGCGCAGCTCCCCGGCGCCCCCCGCCGGTCACTCGGTCTGGGCATCCATCAGCACGGCTTGCCTGCATCCGTTATTGGGGTGATTGGCAAATGGCGATTTCCTAGTCCTGCCCTTAGTTTCGTGTTTCTGGTTGGTTGTGCGCTGGTAGGAAGGCTTTCCCTCGTGTCGTGGGCAGGCACGCATGTGTGTACTTAGGACGTCAGGTGGACACATGGCTGTCGGCTGTTGACTCTCCTCGTGGTCACGTCCTCTGCTGTACTGTCTCTGCTGCTCAGACTGTCCTGGGGACGCCCGTCAGGCTGGCTCCTGTGTTTTCTGACCTGTGCTTTCTGGTACAGCAGACTCCGGAATCAGCCATTTCTCCAGGGAGTCCTGGCTCCAGGCAGGAGAAAAGTACTGGGAAACCAAGATCTGGGCAGCAGGAAGTGCTCACTGGTTAGGACACAGCATGGATAACCTGCTTTGATCTCCGTGTGCTTATCATTTAGCCAGTGCTGACGGCACGTGCTTAATGCCAGGGCGACCCCGGTTCCCTCCACCCACCCGGCAGCGGGGGACCTGGCTGCTCTCACCCGCCATGTACACTTAGGTGCCCAATCTGCGATTGCACAGAGCATTTTGTGGTTGCTAACTCGTGCCTCTGCTCTTTTCGAGGAAGGACGTGAAGGATTAAATATGTTGCGTTAAAAAGGAGTTAAGCTTCTTGAAGCTAAAAATGCGGGCTTTTACTAAACCAGCCAAGTTTTATTTTATAAAAATCTCAATCCGAGGGGAATATATAATCGTATTATTGGTTCACGTTTATATAATCTTTTTAAAAAGGTGGGTTATTGGTTTCTCTGGAGCCGATCTTAACAGCCTGTGGTTGCATTAGCCATATTCAACTTTGTTAAAGATAAACACCTGTTTATATATTCACGGAATTCATTATTGGCCGTTTGGGGAAGGGCAAGGGGGTTCAAAGTGTATCAGGATCTCCAGGGTGAATGCTCCCCTTTGTAATCTGTGAGGACAGAGCCAGTGCTCTGAAGAGTGTCCCTCACTGCTGAGGCTGAGTAGAAAAGAAGAAAGAACGGAGACCAACAATGTCCACCCCTGTCCCCAGGCCGGCTGTTCAGATGGAAGCATCAGGTTACACCAACTGATGTCCGAGTGCCCTCTCCTTCAGTGGGACGGCAGCACCAACAGCCACGCGGTCATAGGCCTCCGCTGGTCCTTGACCAGACCTGCCGTGTTTCTGGCCCAGGATGACACGTCCTGTATTTATATCTGGGATCTGCTGGAAAGTGATCTGGGTCCTGTAGCCAAACAGCTCATCTCCCCAGACAGGTGAGTCTGATGATGTGCCCTCCCGGGCATTTCTTCTCAGAACCATCCTTGGTGATTTATGGGTAAGGTTGCTACACTTTAAACTGTGGGTAAGGTTGCTACACTTTAAACTGTGGTTATTTATGTTTAAATTTAAATACTTTTATATTTACATATTTAAATAATGTTTTGAAAACTACTTTAGAATATGTTATTTCATATTTAGGCCAGAAGAGTCTGTGGATTAAAGAATTCACACTGTACTATTTTCCCATGATTATCATCCTTTTTACTTATTTTTTCATCTATTTGAGATAGAGTCAGTGAGAGAGAGAGAGCACAAGCAGGGGGAGGGCAGTGGGAGAGGGAGAAGCAGGCTCCCCACTGAGCAGGGAGCCCGATGCGGGGCTCAATCCCAGGACCGCGGGATCATGACCAATGAGCCGAAGGCAGACGCTTAACGACTGAGCCACCCAGGTGCCCCAGATATATTTGTTTTTTAATCCTTGCATTTAACACATGAAAGTATTAGATAAATGTATGCCATTTTGACAGGTTCCCCTTTTTTGGTCCATTGTGGCCAATGCTTTTTTATCTTTTTTTTTTTTTAATTTTATTTATTTATTTGAGAGAGAGAGAGAGTGAGAGAGAGCGAGCACGAGCAGGGTGAGGGGCAGAGGGAGAAGCAGGCTTCCCGCAGAGCGGGGAGCCCGATGCGGGGCTCAGTCCCAGGACCCTGAGATCATGACCTGAGCCAAAGGCAGATGCTT